CCAGGATATCTCGTCGGTAACGTTGACCATTGCAATTACCTCTAGCTGTTACCTGTGGAAGATTACCGTCATGTGAAAGTAAACTCATATCATGATGGAGCCGCCGCCGAATGGAGCCTGCCCGAAGATATTCCTCTGTGCATATTCCATTTTCCTACGTAGCATACCCATGACCCAGGCTACCACCATGAATAAAACAAAAACGACTCTCATCCTACCAGTGAATATTTCGCCATGACGCCATATTCCAATGATAACGTGCTAGGTTCCAAGCTAATCGTGAAGCCTTATGGTCACGTGACAAGAGGGATCGTCTCCTAGGTCCCTTAGTGTCACTAGGTCCCTTAGCAACAGTGCAACATATATTTTCAGTAGATATTAATTTATTTACGTAAATTTCTCATGGTTCATAAACATTCGGATGTTGCGATACTTTTGTCGCTGTCTATATAAAGGGAATGAAATAATATTCCCAAGAAACACATAATTCTCTAACGATGGCAGATTGTAGCGATAGTTTTTATTTTGATGATAGAGAGTGTTTGTTTGGTTGTTTGTGTTTGTTTGCAGTATTAAATGATCAAATTCACAATTTGATGATTATTTGCAATTTTGGCCTCATGACAATAGTTGTCATCCAGGTGCTGAGATGGGTTGTTCTTTTATCTACATTTCGGAGCCAATCTAGTTTGATCGTTTCCTATCGATTTTTAAGCGTCTTCAGTGAAAATCATATCTTTGTATGGTGGTTATGAGATCAAAACTGCAGGAGGAGATACGCACTATTTCAGCACAGACCTGGTCGAGATAGCCCGAAGTCATCCTGACAAATGTAGGAGTACTGTGTGAGATTTATGCACCAATAAAAGCGTATTTTTGAATTGGTTAACACATCTGAGGGGTTAGTTTAAAAATACCTTTATGAAAGACAATTTGGCAGCAGGTGTTAGCATAGCAACAGAAATGTCTGGTGCACAACTATACACGGGTCTGACACACCGTGTGAGTTTGGTCACGATCTATGCAACAGTATCGAGGAAACACCCCGGACAAGGAAACAAAGAAACAACCCCGACAATAATGGTAAGCTCTTTGCTGCGCAGTTAAACTAAAAGCAATGAGTTATCAACCAAATCGTCAGACGTATATTACGCAATGAACCATTTTCTTCTTAGAATTAAAGGGATATTATCTTTTTCACTTTCGGACCTTATTCATTATACTTTTGGGAGATACTAATATAACAATGGCCTAGTTTTTTCCCCAGCAAATATGTTTTAGCACATTGTCCATATGAGTTTATTTCATTCAAGTTTTACTGTCTGGATTTCATTGGTAATCACTGATCAATTATGGATGAAAACAGTTTTAAGTCCTGGACAAATACGTAATAATATCATAAAATTTTATTTATGATAAAATATAACAGATCAGTTAGTTATAGCCAAGTATTTCAAGATCCTGTATATGCCAGTAATAATTTATCTCCCACGCGTTTTTATTTTCATTATTAAATGGCAATGAAAGATTCTCTAACTTGTCAGACAATTCAATGTTAGCTTGAAATATAAATATACTTGGCCTCACGAAAATCCACATTTGTTTTTAAAATGCATGGCGGCGAGTTCAACGGTCAGCAATGCGTTAAACTGTTAGAGAACACTTCCTGCTTAGAACAACTTATGACCGAGAACAATCTGGGAGAAGAAGGGTATAGAGTGATATTCGCTCTTCAATCCTTCAATGATGTACGAAAGAAATGCTTCGGAAAAGTACTCCATGTTGACTATAAGGAATCGATTTTAGCATTTGAACAGTCGTACAAAAATATCGGAATTCCGATAAGGTCGAAATGCCATGCGGTTTTCGATCATGTCGAACAGTTTCTGGAAACACAGAAGGAGTTGTATGATCAGAACCAGAGTCGATTACCAGCTACGGAGAGGCAATCCTTCTATCGCGGGCTCGGATTTTGGAGTGAGCAGGCATCGGAGTCTGTTCACTCTGATTTCAGCAAATCGTGGGAAAGTGGGGGGTATAAGCACGACATGAGACATCCGGAATACGCTAAAAAAAACTGTTAAAATGTGTTGTAACATATTGTTCAAGGCATACATAAACTGCGAACTGACAGGACTTGCTCTACGGATTGTTATATCTGAAATACTGGATTGATTCGATAAGTCACATTTAAAAAATGAATATTTACTGTTTTTATAGAAAGGGCTCGAGTGGGGAACTTTTTTTTAACCCTATCGGAACTTCAACGCATATGTGTCGATAACGTTTGTAATAGTTGATTAAGACGTAGAAATAACCTGTAAGATTATATTTACTAACCGGAAACAAGAACAAAAACACGAAGGCACACAAACAGTTATCACTGCGCATGTGTCTGGGAGGGGGGATATGTTTATTCAGACACAATGGAATTGTAAGTCAAGATGATCGTTCACAACTTCGTCTGACAAATGGACGTTTATGACATTTTCTTGACAACGTATCACAGACCTTCAGATAGTTGCTTTGACCTAGACTTAAGGATTCTAAGAGTCCTCTTCACAAATTTATATAACTATTCGTCATTTAGCAAATGGTGGACACACTCTTATTCTTAGATTGTCTATTCCCAATATTTTGGATATTTTAGCAGTCGATGGTTATTTATTTAGGATGCGACGGATGACAAACATAGAAGTGTACACGAGTAAATACATTCTAAACTCAGAATAGATATTGAAAATTTTACCAACTGTTGATTGCTGTGTACATAGCTCCCTTCAGCAAGAATATCATTAAAGCACGCCGTTTGATATTCAGAGAATTTCTTTAATTTGCGTGATGATTGCTTCACGAATATTGTTAATAGCTTGAGATTCAGGAATAGTTCAATGACAAAAATTCTTTTGGATCTATATAAGGTCTATTGCAAATCGTACAAAAATTTTCAGGAATGAATTAAAGACAAATAAATGACATATTTTATAACAGCATCCTTTAATTGCTAGACGATGATTGATTAAACAGCGGATATCATTCAATTCAGTACACACCACGGAAAGCTTGGTTCCTGTGTAGAATCTTCTTGGTGGCGCCCACTACTTTTATATCTGTCCTGGGTCCACATCTAACACTGACTTTAACCACTGAGAAGACTACACTGTGATTAATTATATATATATATCGAATGGCTTGTCCTCAATGGTAATTTGGCAGGGTAGTGTTACATATTGAAGCGTAACGAAGTAGTAATAATACCCTTTGACGGAAGGTGTTATTGTTACAGCAAATCTGAAAGAGATAATAAATTGGTTTCTTTAACAGTCTCTGACAAATCTGGGAGTCATGGTGGCTCGGCGATCCCTGTGTTGACCGATAAAAGTTCATCGGTTCTCCTTGTCATCGGTGCAAGATGGGGGTGGGGTGGCAAGGGGCAACGTATAGTCGTTCGGATGGAATGGAAAACGGAGGTAACTTGTAAACCATGGCGTGCACGTAAAAGAACCCCTGGCAGTTAGAATTCGATATAAAGGTAAGTAAAAGTTGTAGTGCCGCTGTCCGGGCAAAATTTCCCTCATAGCACACTGTATGGCGTATGCCTGTCTTCATTAGCCCAGTCTGAACAGTAGTTCGTTAAACATCTTCCATTTCATTTCTCTTCAAATCTGAGTAAAAGTTATAGTCGTCCTGGGCTCGGCCTCTGTCCCATCCATTTACACTTCCTAACTGTTCATTGTCCTTTCATAAGACATTTGCGATGGCTGCAGAATTGTGATTGTTCGCTATAAACATCATTTTCATCTCCCATTGCCAAGTACGGTATACATAGTATACCATATTATAGTATTAAAGTATTTCCAATCCCATTTTGTGCACAAAATGGTAACGAAGACGGGCATACAGCGTGCTGAGGACAATTTTGCCCGGAAAGTGGCCTACTGATCATAATCAAAGGCTCTTTTACGTGCTCGACATCGTGCACCATTGACAATTGGAAATACGATTCCGAGGAAGTGTCTTTGCCAACACCGGAATTGAACACGGGATCCCCTGGTTATTCACCCAACGCCTATAGTTGGTTAACTTAGTTTCAAACTTAAAAATGGAAATCAACTTAAATACTTTAATGGTTTTTTTAGTATGCATTTTCTTCGGAATCAATGTTAGACATCAATGAAACTTAATTTTGCATTTTTAAATAGGCCTTACATAAAACCGTTTCTTATTTGAACAATTGCAGTCATAACGTCGTCTTCGCCCCGCTTGAAGGTGTATACAACTGATATGCTGATAAAAAGTTATATGGACTGGATCGTCAACTAATCCTCAAATAGATAAATAATACAAGTCAAAGGACACGAGAGAAATATTATTAAATTAAATGTGCCAGATCACTTCACAACCAGAAAGACAATACTGTGGTAAAATCATCACATTATAGACTTCATGATATGGATGTGGTTTAACCGTGTCACTAAATCTAAATGCTATGACAACTGTTCTGATTTACATTATGGCGATTAACTATGTTTATAATTGTATATTCCATTGTGTTTTTGATTCTTCATAAAGAAAGCCACCGTTGCTAAAAAATATTTCCAGGGGGGTTGTAGGTATATATATCTTAAAGTCTCGATGCGCCATTTCATACGCATTTATCACTACAATATAGCGAAAGATGAATCTCTAATAGAAATGTATGTCCAAATGGTTAAATTTTAGCGACAAATGTCAATTTTTGATTAGTTTTGTTTGCTGTTAGATTTCAGAATATGAACTCGTGCCAATACATCTCAGTGCAGACATGCTAGAGATTGATTCACGTACCCTACTATTACATAAATGTTTTGAATGTATTTGTGATTTTTGCATATTAATTAGGATTGGTGGGACTTATACCGACCACCATATAGATATAATAAGACAAAGTAATTGATCAACATTTTTATTTTAACATTATATTCAACAAAATCATAACAAAACATCAATTAGGACTACTGTGTGGAGTGCGTTGTTTTATACATAGATTGATATATATATATATATATAACAGTGACAATAATTCACAAGAGCGATTGCCAGGGAAGGTAACATACTATGTCTACCAGCAGTTTTGTCGAGGTTTCTTTAACGCATGTTTTGAAATTAGATTTCTGGACTATAAATAATGATCATGATTCCAATTTTGTGAAAACAAGCATTAATTGGCGTGGTATTAAACTCTATGGGTTGTGTACAAGTACACATAATGTGCATTTATCAATAATCATCTATGTCAGGAGCCAAAACTCTGGGACAATTTGTACCCCAACACTCGCTAACTATTTCTGCAGTTTTGAAGAAATGGTGAAGAATTGAATCCCATGGAATGAGTATGAAAACTACTTTTAGTTACTGAAATGCCCAAAATTAACTATGGACCAACTTAACCCTGTACTAACTATTCCTGAAGATTTGATGAAATTCGGCGAAGAACTGAAATATTTAAAGTACGATGTACTTTATCAGCACATGGGCCATAGCCCTGGGGTAATGAACACAGGGGCGGAGGACGGACTGGGGCAACGACAACATGTGAGCGTATAAAACGCATCCAGGGTGCCTATTGCAAGAAAACCTTATTTATTTGTAGATTAATAAGAAAATACATATTATAAATAAATATTATCAATGCATCTTAAAGGATCTAATCGGTGTGATTTAGACCAAATTAAATCAAAGAGGTATCCCACATATAAACCGAACACATAGTACTGACGATATATAATCTAATTTGTCACAAATCAATATATAATTTAATTTTCTAAGCAAACAACTGTTTAGCAATCCTTGTCACTTCTTTCACTAACAGACAAATTCTGATATTATTAGAAATATGGATAACAAAAGGAATTTAATGCTTCCCACGTCCGCTTCAAAATAGTTATCATTTTTAAGTATTATATTTTGCAACACCGAAGTAGTGCGTGGGAATTGTTATTATTATATTTCCGCGGAGCAGCTGTAATTATTTTCCGATTTCCGTTTCGTCCTTACATATATATATATATGACATTATTCTACTGAGCAGTGGCGCTAACATATTAACAATACTTTTGTCAGGGTAAATTGCAGATAAATAACAAATATAAGATTGACCCATAGTCTATAACAGTGTAAAATATACAAGATTTATAAAGGTGTCCATATATATCACCAACATATACCGTTTTAATGGGATTACTCCCATTATAGCACTAAGTGTAGCAAATGCATTGAGTAGAACATTAGTCTGTACACAAAACATTGGCGCGCAGAGGATTGGGAATGCCAGCTCCTTGATCGTATGCCCCAAGACTCACGTATATAGCCTAGTACTCAGTACTAGTACTGCGAGAAATAAGTTTAAATAATATGTCAAGGCAGATTAAAAAAAACCTTTTTATTCACAGTAGATAGGACAATTGCGATAATTTTAAAAAAATAAAACTTAACGTTATTTCACTCTTTGATTGGATGCCCCTTTAAAATGGGTGTCCAGGGTCGTAGCCGCATCTGTCCCATCTCTGCACGCCATTGATTAAATCGTAATATGAATGGGTAATTTCTAGCTCACATATTTACGGCCGATTATCTTATATGAACAGGTATGAATTAACTAATATTAAAATAAATATCAAATACAAATCAACACAGAGAGAGCATCACAATAAATAAGTATATTAACATAATATATTTTAAATGATATGCAACCGAAGCAACCATGGACCTTATTTTAAGGTTTATGAGAAACAGCTAACAATTCAACTTCTTCACACACAGGAGCTAGTAACCCATCTAGTAGCCACGATATTGTGTCCCATACACTTTTATATACTGTCTCGTTTTGTAACCATAACCTGAACTCAATTAATCAAGGTAATCTAAAGTTACCTACTGCGTTTTTTTAATCAAGAAAGTTCTCGAAGTTTCGTTTTCTGAGTTCTAGTAATACAGCTAACTAGAACATTATTACGCTTGTCAGACTCAATTACGTCACCAGTGAAACTTCATACTAATTCCAGATATATATGTACATGTATATATCTAGTCCTGCTCATGTCTATGTCAGTTAAGCAAAGTACATTTTATCACATTAAGCCACATCGTGCAGCGAATAGTGGTCGGGCACACCAAGACATCATTGTCTTAAAAAATACCTAAACATACGTTTCCTGAATAACGGCTGCAGTTCCGGATCTTAATGGTTTATTGAAGGATCCGATCCTTCTCCACACTAACTTAACTTCCTTAACAGTAGGAAGTCATACTTTTGTTATGTTTGTTGAACTTTGAAATGAATCCACTCTGTACACCATGGTATTGTACCGCTTCTTTCGATCCATCCATGTGAACAAGTTCTGAAACCCTGAAATCCAATGGAAAGATTTAAAGCAGTAAATACTTGTCAGTTAATCATTGATCTTAGCGAAATAACAGTTTACATTCAAGGATTTTACATAACAAAAAATTAATAAATATTTATTCTCTCAGTGGATATTAGCTGAGAATTAAAATTGATGATTTAATGATTTTGTTAAAGTGGAAAAGTAAAAGTGTGTTTGCATAATTGTTTTCAGTAAAATATAAAACTGATAATATTACGAATTTATCTTAAAACAAAAAAGAGCAACTCAAACTGGTTGGCGTGCTTATAACAAGACAAATAATCTATATCCTAAAGCTTCAAGGCTAGCCATGCATTTAACTACATTGTCTTAATCAAGTCAGATTATGCTTAATCAAGGAAGACAACTCATTTAGAAGTCATCAGGGTTAATTGGTATTCTTTAAATAAACTAACCTATTGGTCATGATCGCATCATGTCTGCGCAAGCTAATTACCCCAATGGAAATATGAAGCTACATAATTACAACATTTATACACAGCTATTACAAATATAGTTTTTAGAAATTGTATTTTTATGTGTGATTGATTTTACCATATTATCAAGGTAGCTATTTATCGAGAAATGAAATAGGGTTTAACGTCCTGCTTTTCTGCGGTAATGAAGTCGGGCGATTCGTCGTTAATAATATTATCAGACACATCAAATTCCATGATGCGTTCTGGAAGAGAAATGTCATAATTTGTAATTGTACTAAATGAGCACGGAAGACAATCGGTCTGGCCTCTCACATGATAAGGGGGGTTGGATGGTCGAATGGTTAGCATGTGCGTGCTGTATGATATGGCCTGTCATTGAGTCAACTGGCGTGGTTTCGAATCCCCGGTCGTACGTGACAAGGAGTAGGGTCGGCTGTCCAACCCGGTGGGTTTTCTCCGGGTCCTCCGGTTTCCTCCCACTGCTAAAGACCCCTACGCGCAACGAATTATTGAAATAAAATTAAACCGTATGTTAGTCCCGAAATGATCTAGTTTGTGTCGAGTGGACTTTAAACCCCATCTCTCTCTCTCTCTCACACATGATAATATATAGATATATCGTTTACTTGACACTTGTTTGTCTCGAATGCATAGGCCCTGTGTCAGAGATAAATCTGCCTATTGCAGGTCCTTTAGGCTTCAAATGTTATATACATTCTTAATTAAGCATTTATGCACATGACAAGACCATAATCAACTCTATAGACCCTTTGATTATCGTAATAATAAATGGATTAGAAATCCCGCTTCATTTCATTATTTGACTTTGAAATGGATAACTGAGACTTTGTTTATTATCGTAGCAATGGTACTTAACAATCGAAACTACCCTGTCGAAACTTCAAACACTACACTGTAAGTGTATATCGTATTGTGATATAAATGTTTGGCATGAAGACAAATGATCACAGAGTGAAAATTTAGTTCTAATCCCAACCACGTGAGTATTATGGTTTAAATTCTGAACACTCAATGTATTTTTTTTTAGCAAAACATGACTATAAGTCATGCGCAGTTTGTATTGTACAAGCTGATTTTGTGGTAGGTATTGGAAGACTTAAAGCCATGGTGGTCCGGATAAATCAATTTGTAAAGAGTGATTCATTAAATTGACATGTCCTACGCACAAACGTGGGGTCTAACTCTCGACCAATATTCTGAAATAAAGCCCACACGTTTGACTACTCGGTCACACAAGTCTCCATTTATGGTTAAGCAAAGATGGCGGGCATACAGTGCACTGACCCTGTGAAAAGGATCTCTGTAATTGGTTCGTTGTGATAAGGACGAATCAATGAATTATTTTGTCTATTTTATTTTCGAATGATAAAATTAGAAATAAAAAGCAGTTTTAAATAAAACATCCATAATGCTGCTCTTTCATAACACGCCTGCTATTGTTATTACTGAAAAATCACAATGCTGGCAGTATTACCAAGTTCACTTATTCAAAACAAGTCATGCTTTGCATTTGTTTAAAATAACCCCTTTAACTACATTTAGTATTGGGGTGTATGGTCGAATGGTTAGCGCATGCGCGTTGTATCATAAGGTCTGTCATTGAGTCAACTGGCGTGGTTTCGATTCCCCGGTTGTATATGACAAGGACCCGAAATAACCTAGTTTATGTCGATTGGACGTTACACCCCCCCACCCACCTCTCTCTCTCTCTCTCTCTCTCTCTCTCTCTTCTAAGACTTCTGTAAAAACAACAATTCTTGTTTGTTCTCCTTGAATAAAAGCTCTATCCAACCCAATTTGTCTGTCTCAAAACTAATTTAATATTGCGAGCAGTTAGACTTCTGTCTGAATTGTTTCTTAAAACTATACATACAATTGAATTAACCACTGTCGGATGTAATGAATGTGTTACAAATTATGAAGAACACAGAGACTGTAATCAGAAATAGGAAAATGGTAGAATTCGTATAAAACAAATTTTTGGGCACTCAACAAAAGAACGATATTATATAAGCATAGCACAATGTCATTTAGTTTCAAGAGTTCCGGAATTTAAGCTGGATTATTACGTAACACAACACATTGAAGAGCCTTTATTACATATAAACAATAATTTATAAAGGTCGTTTTTACGTATAAGTTAACGCTGTTATTTAACGCCATTCTGTGTCTATTGGGAGGCCTCCCAAAAATTGTCCGAACATTAACTCTGCATTGCTCGGTTACACGAATAAACGTTAGCATATTTCGCATAGAGAACAAATTTCATCTCCATAACTTAAAGTGACTGTCTACCAGGGACAACACAGTATCCCATATTAAAAATGGCAATTCCGTAATAGAACGATTCCACGGCCCTAACTTATTGACAGTGGTGGCCGATCCGCCCACCCTTTCTCTGGTAGATAGGCGCGTTATGCGGAACACGCCCCGGTAGACCCAATTTAAGTTAAGAAAGCTGAAATGTGTACCATCTAGGCGGAACATGCTAGTGTCCAGTCAGTCCAAATATCTTAATATTCTATTGAATGGTTAATGATTACTGTGCAGTGTTAAAGTTTTGCCATTTCGGGGGGGGGGGCCGATATATGTCAATTTATTTTTATGTTTCAGCCATCCTCATGAATCCATAAAAATTAAACATTCTATAAATAAATAATCCGTACTTCGAGAAAAACTGTACTTTTTTCAAGTGGCCTCTTTCGTATTAAAATTTCGAAAGAATATAAATAGAAGCAGCACATTTATTTTACAGTGAAAAACTTCTGAAACAGTCAGTACCGCTTCCACTAAACTATTAAGCCTCTATCTACGTTTTACACACACATATTTGCTACTGTTTAGTACAAAGATAGAGAGACAGCGCAATCTACAGAATGTTCAACATCAATTTCTTGCGATATCATGTTTTGGTGATCTAAGGTGAAACAAGCTAACACGACAAGAATGCTAACTACACATGCCTGCATGCATCATTACCTGGAGGGAGCTTTATTTTCAAATATACTTCGGCGTCCGCCTACTTGAGGTAACAAAAATAGGTAAATGTATGAGAAACACAATAACAACAAGATAGATGCTATTTTATTGTCACATCTGAATATTTACGACCTTTAATATTGTTATAAGCGAGGGGTGTTTGGGTGCAGAAAATTACTTGCAATAAATAGCGCTTCAAATTGGAAATACGGTACGGAACATAGATCTAGATGCTTAGATATATCTGTAGATATCTGGGGAAATGTCATTAATCATTTTTGCTTTGCGATCGCAAAGATGAAACAATATAAACACATTCGGCGGACGTAAAACCATGGATACGGCGTCCATATGAACTGACAATTTGGATTTATAGCATTTGTAAATGTGAGCTGTGTAGTGCTCCTCATATGTAAACCTTATCATATTTTATTCTCCTCTTTGTTTTTGTTAGTCCCGAAATGACCTACTTTGTGTAGGGTGGACGTTAAACACCCCTCTCTCTTTCTGTCTCTCTCTCTGCCTCTCACTCTCTCTCACTCTCTCTCTCTCTTTCTCTCTCTCTTGTTTTGGCATTTCGCAATTTCTGTATAAAATCCACGAACTTTTGTTTTTTGTCCAATATGCAAAGTTACAAATTATTTTCAGACTTTCAGGATTGTTTCGCTGTTGTTACTTGCTTTTTTGGTATTGTGTTTAATCAAAACTCTCATAGACAATAATTCCGAACTTAATTAGTTACGACAAACGGTGACATTTAGATTTAAGTTCTTCTCCAAGGGTATGGATTGGCCTAAACAAGTCTTATCTATAAATGTCACTTAGGCTTGCTTCAGTCTACAAGACCCAGCCAAAAGAAAGAAAAATGCAAATAATTTCCATTTCCGATTAAGCTTGCTGTTGTTGTGGTCTAATTACAACCTCAAAAAAAAGGATTAGTTTTATTTTGGGACAAAATTGTTTTGATTATATGTGAAATATAACTGGACTAATCCCTACTTGTCTGTAGTTAGCTTTTGATCACAGTGTTACGGATATTAATGAATTAATTTTGCGTATTAAAATTGTAAATGTCTGTTCACCTGAGTACATTATTCAACATTTAGACTCTATTAGGATTGTGATAAGAGATTCTCAAAATAAAGATTTTACTTCGTTAAAATAAAACAATAAGTTGCTGAAAGATTAAAATGTATTTTCAAATCATCTTTAACATGATTCACTCAAGGACCCAGCAAAGACATCCATTGCAATTTCTGGAAACCTACTTTTATTTTTTAATTACATTGATTTATAGTAATTCAACGCAGAACTTTATTTTACAGGCCCAACAGTCCCATTCATTGGACAAGTGTTTGCAAAGAAATAATTGGTTGATTGACCTTTCTTTCAACTTCCTACACCTTACATTTATTCTTTGTTTTCCATTTTTTTAATTCGGAGTTTAAACGAATAATTCATCCATTTATTTTTATTCTATATGTGTGGGCCATTAAATGAAATCATTATGAGTATATGCTTTGTTCAGATCAATCTATACTATTCCACGACCGCAAATTTTATTTTTGTTTGGTTTCCTTCCTTAACAGCTTCCATTAAATATACAATTGTAAAATTGATGGAGTTGAAAGAAAAAGACAAATCGCCAAATATATAGTTCAACAATCGCTAAGACTACAGATACAAAATTTTCATTAGTTAGGAAAATAATGTGCACAATGTAATCAAATTGATAAATATAATCATTGATGAACGGATAACACATCTCTGTATAAACCCAAACCAAAGATATACGCCTCGTTCATGGAACCAGTTAGACCTTTGGTCTTGATATAGATGGGGGTTACTCGGTCATTGTCAGTCCTCACATACGAGCCCACAACCCATTTTGTTTGACTATACATTGATATTCGATAACCATTCCAATTTTAATTATAGTCATCTCCTTCATTCATGTACGATCTCGCAAAAATAACCCACCCTGTATTATTTAGCTACAAATGTAAATAATGTGCAGAGCAGAACACAATCATTCTGAAATGTATTTTTATTACTTTGCGGCCGCCTTGTTTTCAATTTCGGACTAGCCGAAATTGGGCGAACTGTCATTGGGACGAGCTGGTCCTAGAATATCTATACTACCTAAGCATCCCCCCCAAAAAATTATAAGTATGGTGTACTTGATTCTTAGTTCATTATTAATAAACGTATTCAACAATCACGTGGTGTTATTCTTAGGGGTTCAATTGGCAAACGCACTGATAACTGAACCGGTTAATCAAGTACGCCCTCTAATCTATGGTATCTAATCATGCAACTGCTATATAAATCTGCTTCCAATAATACACACACACAATATTTACCTATTTGGCTAAGATCAGAATAAAATGTGTATTTTGTACTTTCTACTTTATAGCTACAAAATCTTCGGTTTTTGGAGGAATAAAGGTTATAGGTCACTGAAAAACACCAAGTGATCTAAATAGTTCCAAGTCTACATGTTATTAGTAATCAAACAAAGCTCTAATAAACAGTAATGGCATGCAGGTGTATAATTTTACTAATTACAAGGAAACATTTAGTATCAGCCTGGGAAAAGTACATGACATGTTGGGTTTGGGAGTAAGCCTGTATATGAAGGGAATATAAACTGCTTCGTAATTCTGTTTTTCGAAAGATTACAAACGTATAAATTTGAGTTGGATCAAAAAAGAGATCAACTAATCTCTATTTTCTAGTAAACCAGTTTTCCTGACAAGCATCTGGTATTTTCCCAATGATCTGCACTATTATGACGAAAACATGTTGTTCTTTTGAATGTTTCAACGCCCCATTTAGTGAAACAAACATTGTTTGCAAGCGGACGTCTACATAAGACTAGCAGTTATACTCGCTTCATTTACACCCCCGGATGGACTAATACAAATCATTGTTTACGATAGTTTCCTTATAACAAGTATGTATTATAATTAACAAAGCATTAACAGACAATTTGTATTATCATTAATTACCTTAAGAAGAGTTAATTTACAATATTGTTGGTAACAAAAACAAGGAAATTAGATACCAAAAAAACCTGCCCAGAACTCTTACTTGTTATAATCATAACCATAACAGTATAACATGCCATTCCTTTTATTAACCTGATAACCGTTCGAATTATAATTTTTCAAGGCGGTGGAAAGAGTGGGGGGGGGGCTGAGGATATCTTTTCATATTATAGAATTATAAATAGAAAATTTAAGAAGAAACTTTGAATCCAGGAGTATCAACAGAAACCTAATATGTTATTGTAGAGAAGAGCAACGGCAAAATAGAGAGACGCTGCAGGAATCTTTGTACGAAATACCTTAAAAAATTCTGAACAAAAATGGAGTTGTGTTTGGAAATTTTGCTCGAGGCATATCAACCTGAAATATAGACTTGTGAATCAAACTAATGGTGGTGGTTATTACACAAACTTCTCGCATCAACATGAATGTATATTCTCTAAATGGGTATTTTTACTATAGCTACATACGTGTACCATATCTTAATAAATTTGAAAATTGATAGCAGTAGATCAGTAATGTCCAAAATAGTATCAATTATAAGACCTTATTACGAATCAGTAGAAATATAGTTTACACAACTTTTTTTTCATTTTATGAAAAATAAGAACAAATGAGCATTGGACATAGACTTCAAGGAATTACAACAAAAAGAAAGTATTGAAAGTTTACAGTTGTTTTATGCGTTTAGTTGGTTGAATTTTTTTTTAGATAAAAGGATAATAATATATCTTTGATATATCCCGTTTTAATGGTACTCTTTAAAGTAGAAGGAAATTTCACTTATTTCGGAACATGTTGGGTCTTGATAACAGTGATCTATAAAGCATTATATAGCCTTTGAAGTACGGTTATAGCTAATATATGGCCCGGTAAAAAATAATGAAAAAGTGCATCTATAAAAGGGAACCTCTACAAATCTACAAATTACAACGATGAACGAGTGGGTGTTTGATTGTTGCCATTACTACACTACTGATATCAACGATCTGTTTAATTTAGTGGGGGCTTGTTGGGCAATCTGGATCTATAATTTGATATTTGTTGGTGATTACAGATGTGTTTTGATGATGTTAAGAGAGTCCAACAGATGACCCAATTATTTTCAAAGGAACAACCTTAACAATATTTAATTTATTGCACCAACCAACATGAAGGAATATGTGCTATGAGGGACATTTTTCCACGACAGCGGCGTTTACGACTACTCTTCATATAATTACAACTGCCAATGATTCTTTTACGTTCTATTACATGTACACGGAGCCTCGCTTTCTCGTCCCATCTGAACGACCAGCTTCGGTTCCCTGCCAGGCCCCTTGGAAAGGGACAATGTCTAGTCGTTCAGATGGGCCGCAAAACCGGGATCTCATTTACATATTGGTGTGGACGTAAAAGAGCCCTGAACAGTTGGAATTCGAAATACTAATAGACCGTAGCGCTGTCCATACAAAATTACCATAATACACGTAGGACACTGCATAGCGCATGCCCGTCGGTGCTGTCGTATGTGTGCCCGTCATGGTTATACTGATTAATTAAATACTGGAGTACAACAAAAGGAAGTTAGCATACAACATTACAAAGATTATTGTTAACTAAATCTTCTGATATCGTTTAAGAGAAAGAACAGGTTTCAATCTCTAAGTTAAGCTTTGGATTATTTAAATTTTTCCTAGACACGATATTCACTTTCCATTCAACTTTAATCATTGATTGTCATATAAAATCTGTCAAAAGCAATCTGAGTGTTTAGGTGTTAGCCAACGTTTTTCCTGTGAACAAAATAAGTCTGTATTATTCATATGGCGTTTAAAAGAGCGCGTATTAACCCCACGGGGCTTTTACGAAAACGTGCATCAACCGATTCCTTTTAAGTATGGGTTTGAAATCGACTTTTATCGCCCCTTAGGCAGCTGAATTCCAACAACAGGAACCAATCAAAAGTGAAGTAGATGAAACCTAGATCTCGACAAGTTTTACAGACGGAATTTTTAATATAATCCAGGAATTATTGTCTGAAAATCTGGAATTTGGATCAGATTGAAAATCTCATAAACCACTTGCTCAAATTTTAATCTCTGTTGACATATACGTTAGGATAGTCTGAATATAGGGTGGTTAGTGCATAGAGGCTGTTAAGAACTTAGGGATTACACGTCGAGAGAATTTCCTCCAGACAATATAAAGTATTCATACGTTTACTGATGAGCGTGAATGAATATGCCAGTACTGGGTTAAATTGTGTAATTCTAGCCTCTAGATAGCTCTACATTCAATTGCCGAGCGGTGATATTGGAGATAACCGATTTGGTGATTAAATAGATGACATATGTGTGAAATACCCAAGACAAAGCTGAGCTGAAGGTTAAATGTGTACAAATATAATAGTCTGGGGGCTCAGTGCGGGGATAGGGGGTGGGGGGATCCATCAAATTGGCACACAATTTTTCTACAGTGTTTGTGTACAATACGATGCCGAGTGATAATCAGTCCGCCGTCTTGGCGTTTTCGAGATATTCTTGGTCAAAGATCAAATGAGGTCATTTACACCGAAAGATTTCGATTTGACAGTTTTTGCGTATTTTTGAAACGAGTTTCGAAGTCTTTTTGTCCTGTTGTGCAAGATTTTTTTCGACATTCCAAAGTAAGCGTACGGTGCTAAGAACCCCATAAGATAGATTTTAAATGCTCCTATTATTTATTAGAACAGGTTTCCATTTAGTTGACATTTATTGCTTTAAATGGTTCTAGTGCAAAAACGGAAAATTTAACCCTTTGACCTCCGTGGCCACAAAGAACAGAGGTGAAGTTTGCAAGTTCACATTTTTATTGAAAGAGTGATTACTTTCGATCATCTTCAGCATGTTTTCATGATACAAGAATGTCTGTGCATTCACTTTCAGTGTAAATGACCTCATTTAGCTTTTGAACCCGAATATCTCGAAAACGCCCCAACGGCAGACTCGGCAACGTATTCTACGCAGAATTTTACTATAGAAAAGTTGGATCTGGTTTTGTGCCCTTTTGATGGACCCCCACCCTCCGCACTGAGCCTCCGCTCTATAAGGGAAATATATATATTGTATATATATTCAAAGCTAGATGTTCAGGTTGATAAAACAAAGCGATAAATAAATTAGCAACAGATCATAAAAAAACAAACATTTGTAGTTCTATTATTACTATATATATATATAGTTTTCGTTATTATTATTATCATTATTTGAATTATTTTTCGTGAAATGTAAATTGAGTAACTAAATTAAACGAAGTTTACCTTTTCTGAAGTTATCGTTAAAACCAGCATATATCAGCGGATTTATAGCACTATTGGCATGGGCGAGGTACCTAGCAAAATATTCAAACCCGACATACCATTCCTCTAGCTGAAATAAAATTATGATCAGAATTGGTAAACATTTAAACCTCAATACTTTATAGGACTATAGATTCATTTCTAGAAGACACATCGTAGATATATCCCTTAATGCATGTTTATTATTGCCAATTTCAATACAATATCTGAGTTATGTGAACTTCCCGAATAAATAATAAGTAAATAAGTAAAACGAGAACAGCAGATTGTTATACCCTGTCAGATCCACGACACCGATATGTCCCGGTTCCCACCTTTCAAGGAATTGTTTCCCGGTTATGGGGATGGTGCGATAGAATGCCAATCCCATGTTATTTCTGCTAGGCGGCAACGCTACTGTTCTGACAAACTCATTGACAATACAATTGACCGAATTAAATCTGGCGTGTGGGTGTAATTATACTATTCAAAAAAAGTAGGGGATATTTGATTTTGGGGGCATAATACTAAAATATGCAAATGACTACGAAAAAAATCACTATAGAACCTAACAGAAGAAACATTTCCAGTTACATGTGACGCCCAAACGCACCAATAGCTACCGCATGGAATGCAGGTGATGCTTGGGATCATCATGGGGGTCCAACCCAAGATTTGCACGACTCTGACTTTGAATGTTACAGTCATTGTGGCATTGAATTCCAGGGTGGAAACATCAGTTTAATTGTTTTAGTGACCAGAAAACAAATTTTGATATGCGTCGGCTTACCCAAAATGAAAGGTTACGTGCCCTTGGCATGCTACAGATCGGCACAACACAGGCGGTTGTGGCGCGGACGATGAATGTTTCTCAGTCTGTCATAAGCAGGCTTTGGTCCAGATACCGTGATACACAATCTGTACAGGACAGACCACGCCCAGGTCGACCAAGGGCGACAACTCAAGCCCAGGATCGATTTATCCGTACCTTGGCCTTGAGAAATCGTGTCATCACAGCAAATCAGATCAGCGCTCGTCTTCAAACAGACACTGGTGTGAGAGTGAGTGGCCAGACGATTCGGAATCGACTGCATAGGGGTCACCTTCGCGCCCGACGTCCTCGCGTGATCCCTTGTTTGAAAGATCATCACATTCAGGCAAGACGTCGTTGGTGTAGGGATCGTCAACACTGGGATAATCGATGTTTTCAGATGAGTCAAGGTTCACTGTTGATTTTTTGGACAGACGTAGGAGGGTGTGGCGTCGTCGAAACGAGCGCTTAAAAGACGTTAACGTCATCATACATGATCGATTTGGGGGTGGTTCTGTTATGGTGTGGGGAGGCATCACTGTTGCTGGAAGAACGGCTTTACATGTTGTTGCAGGGCGTGTTACAGGCCAGTACTACCGGGACAACATCTTGGCAGTCCATGTTGTGCCGTTCGCACGACGTCATGGCCGCCGTTTCATCTTCCAGGATGACAACGCAAGATGTCACAGGGCCAGGATCGTTACAGGTTACCTCCAACAACAGAACATCACCACATTACCTTGGCCAGCACTGAGTCCCGACCTCTCCCCCATCGAGCATGTCTGGGACATGCTTGGACAGAGGTTACGTCAACGTCAACAACGTCCTGCCAATGTCCAAGAACTTGCTGCTGCGTTGCAACAGGAATGGGACAATCTGGACCAAACTGACCTTAGACGTCTCATTAGGAGTATGCCACGTCGGATCAATGCTTATTTGGCAAACAGAGGAGGATTTACCCGTTACTGACTTGGTTGTGATGCTGTGGTAACTTTGCTGTTTGACCCCGGGTATCATTTTACCCTTATAATGGTCAGTCTGTGCCTTACTTAGTCTAACGATCATTTGGAATAAATCGATGAATGTGAACTTCATTTCATTTTGTCATTTGTTTCTTCGTCAGTTTCATTAGGTGACTTTAATAACACTTAAAAATCAAATATCCCCTACTTTTTTTTGAATAGTATACAAAACCCCAACTATCATTTTTTTTTGGCTAGGAATTATTGCCGTCAAATTTACAAATTATACATCTACAGCAACATCTGTGCCTGCTAATAGTGCGTAGTCAAGTTTTGAGTCAAACTCACGGTTATCTGCCTTGACTTAATGTGAAAAACTTCACTACGACATGCAATACTACTATCATGACAAATCACTAAAAATGCGGAGCAATTTAACGGCAGATTGATCGAATTTGTAATGTTATTACAAATTAAATCGTCAAAAACAATCAGAAACTGAAACACTGATATGTAATCTGACAAAACTAAATGAAGTTGAGGATATTATACCATATCATTAATTTGAGACTCACTAACAAGCTGAGACATCGCACAACTGTCATTTATTAATTCCGCCAATATTCCAGTTCAATACAATAACGGACTCGTCAAGGTACAACGCGTCTCTGTAAGGTAATATTGTAATAATTTGACTTCATGAAGGTAAAGGAACTTATCTGATAACAGACAAGAATATATTATGTTGCTTGACATTTTTCTTCACCGTCTTTATGAAACAGTGTTTATTATTATTATTATAAATTTTTGACTTGGAGTCTACTTTATTACTATTAGGTCTACCCAGGTCTAACCTGTTCTATTATGTATGCTTTCCATTAACTTGCAAACCGGGCACGACTAACGTAATAAGGTAAAAAACAAAACAGAGTACTGTATCCACCGAGGCATTCTGGCCGAGCTCCAACTTCTCGACAACCACGATTCTTGAAACATTATTATATAAAATATACATAGCTATAACGTAGTACTTACTCTAGAATGCTTATCTGGTCTATATTCAGAATATAATAATGTGATAATCAGAGGCAACCAGCATATCACAAACAACGCTAGTATCAATACCAACATTACAATTACCTGTAATAATAAAAAAAAAAAACATTAACAGATTATTAAACAGAATTGACAGTTTAACAACAATAACAGTTTAATAAACAACAATAACAGTCAACTCAACAAACAATAACAGATTAATAAACAACAATAACAGCCAACCCAACAAAGAATAACAGATTAATAAACAGCAATAACAGCCAACCTAACAAACAATATATATAACAGTTTAATAAACAACAGCCAACAATAACCCAGCAAACAGTAACAGTTTAATAAACAAAAATAACAGCCTACTCAACAAACTGTCAACACTGGTAGCCACGTATTTATTAAGAGTATGGGTCGATTAAAAATGAAGAGAATAATCATTCATCCGTCTCATAAGCTGCAAACTGGGTCATCAAACCATACCAAATTGCAATGTCAAATCATTGAATTTTGATCATCTTTAACACATTTCCAAAACGTTTTGTGTCATTTCAAGTTCTATTTTCAAATTACATGGCTCATGGCATTATACAACAGGGGTTATTGTAAACAGGAGTCATTGTTAGCATTACTGTCGTGACGAGATTGTATACCGCTGCAACGATAGATTACAGAAAACGGTAAAGGTGGCGATATTAAATAAATCTCCCCCGACATCTTCCATATTTATAACACTGACCTTTCACACGTTTCCTTGTGATGGAATCTATCTGTTGCTTTTTTCTAGACAACAGATGTATAATACTGCCTAACTAAATTGATCCTTAGAGCCTAATGAGGTTAATGTTGGCAATATGTTTAGTACTGCGCTGTTCAAAGTGTCGGCATAATAATACAGCCGAGTATTAACCCCAAAATGAAAACATCAAACGTGTGTTTTAGTTTCAGAGGTGACTTGGGTCGAATCGAACCATCCAGTCTAAAGTGTTGGAAAGCCTTATAATTATAAAGTGGCACTAGGTGGCGTAAATAATGATACATACAATAAATACGTAAATGTATTGGTCTGAATGTGGTTGGGCTCATCTTATGATTAGCCATACAGTCCTACCAAATCCTAATCTGTTAAACTCTTGGTGTGTAGAACACTTACGAGGTTTCGACAACAGGGGCAGTAACTCTGTAAAAGTCATTTGACGTAAGAACATATTGTACTTATACATAAAATAAGTCCATTGGATTTTAAAGGAGAACATTATTTTGCACATTAAAATGTTTACTTCTGTTATCGATATGTTAGAACGTCACTAATTGGACACGTCTGTAATATTATACTTTAGAAAACCCTTATTATGGTGTAACGAAAATAAATGTCAGTTCATGGGAATGTTTCTTTCTGGAACACTTTTTAGTGGCGTCCGCGGGCGTTACTATACAACTACAATCCATTATTGAAGTAAAAGTATCATGTACGTAAAAAAACGTTAGGTCACCGTATCTAAAGAGGGTGGGGTATGGCTAAGCTATAAAGGTCAGTCTGACTCGAGGAAAGCCCAAAATTTTATGATTGGATTTTGGAAAAACACATTGTCCTTGCACTGATCCATATTTATAAGTTTCGGCCATTTAACTGATAACCTTACAAAACGTCTCATTTTATGGCATCGAACAGATTTTAGAGCGACCTGACTTTGGGAAAGCCCCCAAACTTTTGTTTAGATTTTTGAAAATTATATTTTTCAAGTATGGATCTCTGTTAAGTTTCAGCCATGTAACTGATGATCATATTATTAGCCCCGTAAGGAGGTATGGGGCGTGGTCTGACTTGGGAAAAGCCCCTGAAATTCTGGTTAGATTTGTGAAATATTTACTCCAGCTATGGATACCTTTTCCTCTAAAACGTTTAAGGTGCTGCTATGGCTATATGCCCTAGCAGTTCCCGGTCTGACCAATTGATTTTTACGTGTATGGACACCCACTACAAATTTGGGGTGAAGGTGTCAAACCTTTTGTAACCGATGACCATATTATTTTGTCATTAACTCCTGGACTATTACAGAATGAGTAGGCCACTCGGACACGAACTAGGTCATTTCGGGACTAACATATGGTTCAATTTTAATTCAATAATTCGCGTAGGGGTCTTTAGCTTTGGCGGGACACCGGAGGACCCGGAGAAAACCCACTAGTTTGGACAGGCGAACCTACTCCTTGTCACGTACAATAAGGGAATGGATACCACGCGAATTGACTCAACTACGCGCTAAGCGTTCGGTCATCCAACCCCCAAGAAGAAAAAGAAAAACAAAATAGGTAAGACTTATCCTGGTTCACGCAGGAATACAAGCGTAAAGAAATTTTAGTTATTTTATTCTTTTAAGCTAATAACTGCGAGGGGGATCACGTGGCTAAGTGGGTAAGACGCTGGCTCGCTAGCCTGGAGGTCGGGTGTTCGATCCCTGCATTGGCCGAGAAAGTTCATCCAGATTTTGCGGCGTGGTTTCCCCCTTGTCAGTGGTGCAGGACGGAGGGCCTGACAAGGACAGCAGTCTAGTCGTTCGGATGGGACGAAAAACCGAGGACCCGTGTACACATTTGCGTGCACGTAAAAGATCCCTTGGCAGTTGGATTTCGATATAAGAGTAGGCCGTAGCGCCGCTGCCCGGGCAAAATTTCCCTCATAGCACACTGTATGACGTATGTCCGTCTTCATTAGCCCAGGTTAGGAGCAGAACAGTAGGACGTTAAACCCCATTTTATTTCTAATAACTGCGTTCTAAATACTGGATCTTTTTGTCCACATTGACCCGATATTAGCTTTTAGAAATGAATAAATTATGCTGTTTATTATGGACAGATTTTAAGATGTTGTCCATTTCCAAAACTTTCTAACGGTTCAGAATGGACAAGTTTATGTATTTACATCTAGACGACTAGACGGATCTTTATAGTGTAATACATTAGAGCACAGAAACTAGCTGTCAGCCTAATAGTATCGTTAATTACTCTTAGCTTGTATAGTTAGCATAATGCAACCCCCGGCGATGATAATAAATATAATGTTTATCTTTATCCTCGATCCAAGATACTTTTATCCCATCATAGAAATCGGCTGGATAGTGATTATGTAAGATTTAATTACGATTAGTCTGTAAATTCCAAGCAGCCGTGAGTCGATGTGATCTAGTTATTAGTCTTAAGATCAAACATTGTCGGCGAACAGAACCCCAGTAATTAATTCAACTATGTTAGACGACGTAAATTTCGCATTGCTTTACCCAAGCTGTATCAGGTCAGTGAGTAAGCTCGTCTGTGTCATGTCATAAAATGTCTGTCACTTGAACTACACTGGGTGGGGAGGAGGGACTTCCTGTATTTCAGAAATGAAATGGAACTTAACGTTCTATTGTTCTGCCCCTACTGGGCTAATGAAGGAATGAAGGTGGGCGCATACACCATACTGTGTGTTATGAGCGGAATTTTTCCCGGACAGCGGCACTACGGCTTACTCTTAATTCGAATTCCAACTGTAAGAGGTTCTTTTACGGGCATGCTAATGTGTACACGGGAACTGTTTTCTTTTTATCCCATCCGAACGATTTTACATATTATGCATATTGTTTGGAACTGTGATACAATCGATGTCCAAGATGCACCCTGAAAGTTGTCGAGATACCGTGATATTGGATATATAAACTGGGCATGATTAAACAGAAAATCCGAATAAGACAAACTTCGTTGTACAACGTCAATAACACAAAAATAGAACGGACAATTTAGCTAACAATATTATTTTCAGAGTGTGACTGCCTCGAAATTTGATATTTTAGCCTTATCACGTCATCCCCACCAGGACAAATCGTTTCCTTTAGATCACTATGTTTGTACTCCCAGTACAAAGGGTTTCTTTTGCATATGTTACCTTCTTGCTGCAGAGGTAACCGTCTTGCCAACTCAGCACACAGAGAACTATCTACTTTAAGACGATTGCAGACAGGCAGCGTAAGTTTCGTATGCGTCATGTCATCGGCTCATTAATTTGAGCTACCGATAGGCGTTGGTCTATTATATTATTGCCCAAATTAGACATTTCATTTATTTGGTTCTGAGCGGTAGTACTATAGGATTTGTTAAATGAAATGATAAAAGTGTGTGTGTGAGACATGATCGAATCTCTTAGCTAATCTCGTGTTCTTAGTTTTATAAAAATTGAAATGCTTTAGCTACAAAATGACCGAAGTCGTCACCGGATGACAAAGGGAAATCATAGAGTTACAAAAACAGAATTTGAAGAAAATAAAATAATGCCTCTTTTAACGAAAACACTGCTTACTGAACTAAATAATTTCTATTGATTGTCTTCCACTTGGTTCACCCATTTGTGTAACACGTACATGAAGCGCGTATGGATTATTTTCCGCTTATCAGATGATTTTCTTTATTTTTCAACAGAAATCTCAGAATTTGCCGAGTCAATTATGAAATCGTTAGCCACTGTCATTTTCAATATTAGATATTGGACTAATGTTTCAAAAATGTCTTACTTTATCGTTTTAAAAACTCGCCTTCAATACGATTCATTACCAAGTAGAAATTTTTCAAAGAATCAAGCAACAAATGATTTCACTTGTCACTAAGCATGCATTCATTTGAAAACAAAACTGGCCGGAACTAACTACTTTTTATAAGGATTTGATATAATGCAGATTGCCGGGCGTCGACATCAGATTCAATCTAGTGAAATGCTTAGCGATAGAAGTTGAAATCTAGCGCAAAAATATCTTAGCTTTTTGTTTGTATGATGTATTTTATGATCTGCAAACTTAAAAAGAAGGTACGTCACATGGGGTCTGTTTCAAATTTGATACATGTAAATACCGGTTTAAAAGTACTAAGTAACTTATAGCAAAAATCAATTTAATTTCTTCAGGCAGTAAACGCTAGGTGGTCTTTGTTACGTTAGTGATCATTAGATTATCATCTTTTTTTTTATAAACAGTAAATTTTAACCATGTTATTAACAAAAGGCGCACCTATAAGCGGATCATTAGAAAATAAGTGAAGAAAATTCACTGTTAGTTTGTATGATGCTA